AGTGCTAGCTTAATCATATATATTTACAGTTACTCTGGAAAATAATTCTATTAAAATAACTAACATACATATTAAATTATACCATGTTGAAATGTGGTCTTCTTTGGTAAAATAAGCAATGTTTTCTGGATACCTGTTAGTTCCAACGTTCTTTCTAACCTGCTATGAAACCTTGGACAATTTCCAAACATTTCCCTGAACATGGTGTATTAAAGACAATTTCCTCCTCTATAAAAGTAAGGTTCCGTATTACCTCTGAGATCCTTTTCTAGTCTAAAATTATTTTCTTCTATGGTTTAATTTGTACTGTATGCTTCTTTATTTACCAGATATCACACATAACATCAAATGACTCTGTTCTAAGATAAAAACCAATTTCCATTCAAGGTCTTGGAGTTACCAAAAGAAGGCTTAACTGTATCAGACTATAACTATTAAAAACACGTTTAAGCCAAACATAACAAGATCTCAAAGAGAGATAAAAGTGATTTCTCTCCAATACTGATTAAGAATAGTGCTTAGTGATGTGAACAATGTAGTCTTTTCTTTGTCATTCTGAGTTACTAGATTAAACACTAAGGAAACAATGTAGTTCATTTCTGATACAGTCCCAGTACTAATGGCTGTCCTATTTAGATGGCATTGGTCAAGACTGATATCAAGATAGGTAACTATAAGTCTAACCTAACATCAGTTAACGAACCCATTTTTCAATCACGTAAGGTATAGTGAAATATACTCTGATTATTCTGTGAACTTTCATTATTGTCATTAACTTTGTTACTGCATGACGATTTGATTCCATTGTGTCACCTCTAATTATATAATTTATATATAATGTATACAGTGATATAAAAAGAAACTATGTATTTTGGAACAAAGACGTCTGAATTTCTATTTGACTTCTATGAGTTACTTGCTCTTGTTATAATTAGAAATCACTTAAGCTCCATGAACCTATGTTTTATATCTTGCAAAACAGGGATAATAGCAACTGCCTTATAGGTTGGTTATGAGAATATAGTAATATATTTTAAGCACTTGAAAGAATTCTAACTCAGAGTAGGAAGTCAACAAGTGGCATTGATTGTAGTTAAGTATGGATACTTTAAAGTGATATCATTTTAGGCAGAAAGTATGGCAGTTTTTTAATAAAGTATATAACTATGTATGTATAGAGTGTAAACACACACTTGCCACAGGACTCAGCAGTTTCACTCTTAGGTATTTACCCAGGAGAAACAAAGTTATATTTCTAGAAAAATGACCTATATGTAAATATTTGTAGCAGCTTTATTTGTAATAGTCAAAGAACTGGAAATCAGCCAAATGTCTAACTGGTAAGTGGATATACAGATTGTGATACATTCATGCAATTGAATACTACTCAGTGATATGAAGGAATAAACTACTGATACATAAAATAATATGGATGAATCTCTTTAAGTGAAAGAAACTAGACTCAAAAGACTATACTGTATGATTCCATTTGTATGACATTCTTAAAAAAGCAAAACTATAGGGACAAAAATTACATCACTGATTGCCAGAGGCTGTGTGTAAAAAGAGGGGTATTGATTCCAATGTTGCACAAGGACCATTTTCGGGTAACAGGAATATTGTATGTCAAGGCTGGATAACTTTGTCAAAATTTACAGAACTATATACCGAAAATGGGTAAATCTTTACCTTGTATAAATTACGACTCAATACATCTGATATTGAAAACTCCATACATGTACTTATGTTGCATGTATGTTTTACTTTGATAAAATTTTGCCTAAAATATGACTATAAAAATAAAATGTGTTATACTTGTGTAAAATGTTTATACTATAGTAAAAGTATAAAATATTCTTGAAAATGATGAACCCAAATGTGTTTTTCTTTGGTGCTTGGAAGGAAGAAAGGGGATGTGACTAACGAGTATGATATGTGGAATGGGATAGTGGATTTTTTTTTTTTTTAAAGACAGGGTCTCACTTTGTCAACCAGGCAGGAGTGCAGTGATGTGATCATAGCTCACTGCAGCCTTGAATTTTTGGGCTCAAGCAATCCTCCTGCCTCAGTCTTCTGAGTGCGCACCAACACACCTGGCTAATTTTTAAAATTTTTTGTAGAGATGAGACTTTGCTACGTTGCCCAGGCTGGTCTCAACCTCCTGGGCTCAAGTATTCTCCCATCTTACATTCCCAAAGCCCTGGGAAATGAAGCATAAGCTACCATATAGGCAGGAGCCACGGTAACCAGCTGAATTTTTTTTTATGTGAAACAAAATAGCAATTAAAAAAAAATTAAAGCAGGGTTTATAACACTATGTATAAAGTGCTATCAATTTTGTAAATAGGGACAATTTACTTAAAGTATCCATATATGCTTATATATGTATAGAACAATCTCTGGAAGGATGTACAACAACTAGACAGGTAACTAGTAATCTCAGGAGAAGGGATTTGTAGTACTAAGGATGGGAGGTGGGAGATTTACTTTACATTGTATATTCTCTTACACTGAGTTTTGTTAGTTTTTGTTTGATGCATGTGTTTATTTTTGCAAGTATACACATAAATGAAATATAAAAATAATTTCCAGAAATATGGGAATAGGATGCCAGAAAGAAAAACAGGAATATATCTTGTTTGCTAATTTCCTTGGTATTTTTGATACAAAATTTCTTTCTGACCTATAGTATGATAGAATTATGTGGTATTAATATCAATCAAGGAAATACTGTAGAAGTAAATAGCACATTTAAATTGGCTAAATGTTTTAACAATGCATGCAACAGATACCCAACTCAAACTAGCCTAAGTCCCCCTCCAACTTACCTCCCAATGAATGGGTATATTTATCTACCCTAGAAATCCAGGAAGCGGATCTGGATCTGTTTTCAGACATATGTGGATCCAAGAGTAAAAGTGACATTGTCAGGACTCGGTTTTATTCTGGGGCTAGGGGATTAAATACTTCAATTAGACAACCTGGATTGTATACCTGAGGTGATGGGGGATGAAGTTCGTTCTAGCCACAAAGACTGAGCAAGATCACTGTAGTATAGGGCAGGGGTATTTTCCAAAAAAGAAATGCTGCCAGGTAAGTATATGTCTGATAAAGTAAGGATATTGTAAAGCCAGAAAGTTTATAATAGCTTTAAACATAGTCACTAGGGTCTAGGAAGAAAATTAGATACTGGGAGTTAAGAACTTGAATTATCATAAAGCACCACCAAGTTTTCATAGTCAACTAAATGTGGGAGGAGAACATGAAATGTTCAATAACACCTTAAGCTTGGGAATTTAAAGTTATCACAATCCCATTTTCATTATGAACATGTATATGCAAAAACTATATCTTAGTGTTCTTTTACAAGAATTAGTGTTTTGTTGGTTGGTTTTGGTTTTCGTTTCTGTGCACAGGTACCAAGTAAAAGACTTCAAAACAATCATCATATTTTAGCATTTGTACATATGTAGCACTGGCACCTATTTATTTAGTAAAATCTCCATTACCTGTTCAATATTTGATATTCCTTAACTGCATGTTTGAAGTTTGAAGTTTTCTAAGTTGAATGTGATATGTGTGATTCTTTTTGACCTGCCATTAGTCACAGTGGGTATCTTTGTCTTCCAAGTTACCATTTTAATCACATTTTATGGTATACTGAAAACTGGAAAAGCTTTCATTAAGAACCAGCCATCTATTTTTACTTTATATGCTTTTCCATTTTTTTTAGAATTTTTTGTCTATAATTATGGAATATGGCATGTTAATGCATTTGAACATCTTAAATTTAACTATAAAATTAAAATTTGGTAGAATTTACCAGTTCAGAGAACAAATTAATCTTAATGCTAAAACTTATATGCAAAGGTCTAAATTGCTACATGTTTTTAAAATTCTCTATTACTAAAATAGAAAAGTGGCATTGTGTAATGTTCACTTTTATTTCATTGACTAATTTTCTATAATCAGGATTTCACAAGTTTTTTATGACTTCATTCTTAACCAAAAAAATAATTCCAATGAAATTATATGAATTCACCAAAATTCTGAACCTGTGACTTCAGACTTTATATTACTTTTTAATTAACGAGGGTGTCCTAGTTTGTGAGGTTTGTGACAGCAGTTTGTGTTACCTTTCAAATGCAATTTAAAGCAAAGTGAAAAATAACCATTTTATGCAAATTTAACTTTAATAAGCAATACTAAAGCCTGACTTACCAGTGCCACATTTTCAAAGTTATATTGAAAACTGTTTTTGGTGTTGTTTAAAATCCAATGGGAATGATGGTGGGAGGGTGGCAAATTCTTTTTAAATTACTACCTCATTGAAAAAAGTGATTACCCATTCTTTAAAACTCAAAAATTATAGCAGGAAGGAACAGTTACACCCCTCTAATAAAACATTGCTAGCATTCAGGGTTGCTGCCATTCTCCCCTTTGGGAATTTTTTTTCCCCCACAGAAAAGGAATTGAAAAGGTTAAATCATATCTGTAAGAATCAGTTTGTAGTCTGGTGTATTTTTTCACATTAAATATCAAAGATAACTTGACAACATATTTAGAATTTTCTGAGTTTTACTATTAATAAAGTTAAAAGAAAATCTAGTATGATCAGGCAGTGGAGCCACATTAAATCTGTAAGTGAAATACCCATTGTACTTATCTCTACTGTAGATATTGCTCTGAAACCCATGTTCCACATTCTGAATTCTGTGTATAAAGTTAAACATTGCAGAAGGGCATATATCTGATGATACAGATAAATAAGGTTGAAGTTTAGTAATGAGCAAAGTTACCAAATTTAGTATGTTCATATTTTTAGTGTTTGTATTATTAATGCATTTAGACTATTTTATGGTAACTTATGAGACACTACTAAAAACATTCGTAAGTTTTTTTTAACTGTTAGTAATTTAAGACTACTGTTCTTACTGTGGTATTGTATTTTATCATACCAAAATGAATACTGGATTTCTTAAAATATTAATTACTTGCAGGCAAAGTTGTTATCTATGCAAGAAGCCAGAGAAACTGCAGTTCAACAGTACAAAAAACTGGAAGAGGAAATCCAGACCCTTCGAGTTTACTACAGGTAAAATTCTTTTTAGCCTGGGGTTAAGTAAATATTGTTAGTTTGGGAAATGTTTCTACCTGATTTTACAATAGCAAATGAGGAAATACCTCAATGAAATTAAATATTCTGCACTTAAAGCATTTTTATAATAAAAAATGATTCAGCCTCATAATATTTATTGTTCTACCTCTTTTCTTCCTATATTTGGTAAAGTTTAAATTTACACTCTCATCATAATTATGAAATTTATATAATCCATTACCGGTTATCTAAATGAAGCCTGGTTAGCTGTTGAGCTGTTTTTCCATCTAAATTCCACCTCTAAAACAATTGTAAATATAAATATGTTTATATTTATACATATAAATATAAAATATATATAATTAATATAAATTATAAGGTAGGTATTTTTAATATAAATTAATAAGGTAGGTATTTTTTAATGAAAATCAATAGAATAGAAATGTCAGAATGCATCTCTTATGTATAGTAAATGTAAACTTTTGTTTCAGGTTTGTGTGTGGGAAAGAGAAAATATTGTGTATTGGCTTATGTGTAAAACATAAATTCTTACAGTGGATCATGGTAAAAAAAATTGAAAAAGCACACTGATGCACAATGCCATGTATATTCTTTGATTACTAAATTTAAAAAAATCCTTAATTCTGTAATATAGAAATTCACTAAGGGTCCTGTTAAGGTATTGAAAGATTTTTGTCTTAATTTGGGTAATTTTTGTTTTAATCAGGACCATTCCTCAGAATAATGTTAAAATGCATAAAATGTAATTAAAGCAAAATAAGTTTTACTGAAATACAATTATGAAAATATTATGTTATGATACATCATGATATGCCTGCATCATTATTAATGCATAAAATAACTAGATCTAGCAGCAAGTCCATTAACAATTTTAATCTCAAGCCAGTGATGATTGTAAGTGATATTTTTGGATATCCGCAAATGCTGAAATGTGACATAAATACCAGTGATTTCTATGGGTGCAAACCCTCAAGAACCAGTGATACTACTACTGTGATTTTTTTGCTCATGTTTATAATTGTAGGAAATACTGTAGTTGGTGAAACAGTATGAGAGTTGGTGAAAATAAAGATGTAATTTTTTCTCATCCCCAAGTTAAACACTAGTGTTTTAAAGCAATGTTACTAACATCTGCAGTAGTTGACTATTGTTATAGGTTGAATTCTGCCCCCCAAAAGTGACTATACTGATGTCCTAATCCTTGCTATTTCAGAATGTGATTTTATTTTGAAATACGGTTTGTACAGAGGTAATCAAGTTTAAATAAAGTCATTAGGGTGGACTCTATCTACTACTGCTGGGGTCCCCATAAAAAGGGGCAAATTTTGGATATAGAAAGAGACATACCCAGAGGGAATACAATCTGAAGACACACAGGGAGAAGATTGCCATGTATCTACAAGCCAAGAATGCCAACAATTGCTGGCAAACAACAAATACTATAAGAGGCAAGCAAGGACTCTGCTTTGCAGTTGTCAGTAAGAACATAGCCCAGCTGACACCTGATTCCAGACTTCTATAGTTTCCAGAACTGTGTGACATTTAATACTTGGTGTTTAGAGCCACCCAGTTTGTGGTACTTTGTTACGGGCAGCCCTTGGAAACTAATGCAGTTAGCAAACATCAAGTATGTTTGGTTGGTGACTGACTGTTGGAATCATTTGCTTTTGCAATTAGAATTAGTGCCTATAAATGGGCATACAGGTGAGCAAAACCCTGACGGTGAATGAATACATGCTACCAACCTACTTTATTTTGGACTACAAAATGAATATTACACTCGTTCCTCTGTCTTTTATACCATGATTCTCAACTGTAGCTGCCATTAGAATACCTGATAGCCTCTAAAAATTCTGATGCCTAGCCCACCCCATGCTGATTACATCAGAATCTCAAGGGGTAGGGCTCAGATATCAGTGTGTTTTTTAAAGCTCTAGAAATTCCCGTGTGCAGCCAAGTTTGAGAGCTGATGTTCTACATGCACCTTTCAGTTAGCTGCATTAAATTAGGGTCTTTTCTTGGTAAAGTAATAAAGAGGCATATATTAAACTCATTATTAAGACATGACTACCATGTAATTTGTGCCCTGATCATGGATGTTACAATGTGATAAGTAATCGATTCACTCTATTAATGGGAGGATTTTTTTTTTTTTTTTTGAGACAGAGCTTCGCTCTTGTTACCCAAGCTGGAGTGCAATGACACGATCTCAGCTCACTGCAACCTCCACCTCCTGGGTTCAGGCAATTCTCCTGCCTCAGCCTCCTGAGTAGCTGCGGTTACAGGCACATGCCACCATGCCCAGCTAATTTTTTGTATTTTTAGTAGAGACGGGGTTTCACCATGTTGACCAGGGTGGTCTCGATCTGTTGACCTCGTGATCCACCTGCCTCAGCCTCCCAAAGTGCTGGGATTACAGGCATGAGCCACTGCGCCCGGCCACTGCTACTTTAAAAAAAAATTCTGATGTAATAAAGCCACTTGGATTTGCAGTTAACCATGCCATGTGTGGCTGAGTATAAATGAACCTCACCAAGTCCCTTTCTTTTCTTTAAAATGAAAATAATAGTACCTATATATAGGGTTGTTTTAAGTATGTTCAGCTCTTAGCACAGTATTTGGTTTATTGTTATTGATCAACCAGTGTTAGACATATTTCTTTTTAAAATAAAAGGCCAGTGAGGTGTAGGAATAGAACCAAAAAATATATCACTGAAATCAAAGATTTCCCAAAGGAAAAAACGTCAAATGTTACTAAGTGTTTAACTATGATAAGGACCAAAGGTATCCTTATATTAGAAATTCAGTGGCGATTCGTGACTTCCACAAGAGGAGTTTATTCAATGACGTATTAGATATAGATGTCAGTTTTCTGTGAATTAAAGAATAATTAGGAAGTAAAGAAGCATAGCAATTTGGACAATAGAGTAATCCTTGAAGAAACTTGAATAAGAAAACTGGTAATGATAATTGAGAAGAGATGAAATGTAGGTAAGGATTTTTTGTTACTGAAAAATAGAAAATACTTGAGTATATTTATGGCTAATTTAAGAAGCCAATAGAAAGAATTGTTATAGAGCAGGATCTAAGAGGAGGTAGGAAGAGATAGGATTTAGGGTATCTGTAGAAAAGTTCACCTTGGACAGGAAGCTAGACAGATTGTAATCAGAGACAGGAGTAAAGGAGGTAAGAACAATTCAATGTTTGTTTGTTTGTTTTTGTTTTGTTTTCCATAAAGTAGGGGTCAGTGTGGGCTTCTGAACATGAGAGGGCAGAATACTTTGAAAGGAATGACAGAGATTAGATATTAAAGGAAATGGAAGAAAGAACTGAAGAGGGTGAGGAAGAGAACAAAGTCAAGCAATCTGGAGGACTCAGTTGGCTGTAATGAATGCCATACATTTATATGAGTAATCATTTATACAGTTGTGTAATTTAATACATTCAACTCTCCCTATACAGAAACACCGAAGGCAAATAATTGCAATGATTTAGTATTACAAATTTACAGGGCAAAAAAAAAAAATGAGCAGAGAAGTCGAGGGTACTAAAAAAAGAGTTGTTAAGATGATGAATGATAGTCTAAGCTAAATATGTTAGGAAGAAAAGTTAAAGGGACCTATATCAGAGAAAAAAGGAGGAATCAAGAAACAATAGATCTTGAAGAGATCATAGAGTAAATGTAGTGAGAATAAGAAAATTTGTCTACAGCCTGGGTGACAAAGTGAGACCCTGTCTCAAAAAATATATATATAGGCTGGGCACGGTGGCTCATGCCTGTAATACTAGCACTTTGGGAGACCAAGAGGGGTGAGTCACCTGAGGTCAGGAGTTCAAAACCAGCCTGGCCAACATGACGAAACACCATTTCTACTAAAAATAGAAAAAATTAGCCAGGCGTGGCAAGGGGCACCTGTAATTCCAGTGACTTAGGAGACTGAGGCAGAAAATTGCTTGAACCTGGGAGGCAGAGGTTGCAGTGAGTCAAGATTGTGTCATTGCACTCCAGACTGGGCAACAACAGTGAAATTTTTTCTCAAAAAAAAAAAAATGGGGGGGGAAGTGGGAGATCCAAGATGACTGAATAGGAATAGTTCTGGAGTGCAGTTCCCAGTAAGAACAACACAGAGGGTGAGTGATTACCGCATTTCCAAACAAGTTTTTACTGCTTGCAGACCAGGAGATTCCCAGGCTGAAAAGTGCAGTGAGTTTCCAGCACAGCTATTTCAGCCAGCTCCAAGGGTTTCCTAAAAAAAAAAACACACAAATCTGGGCTGCCATTTCAATTGGTGCCTGGAATGCCTAGGAGACAGAGCCGCCCATTCAACTGAAAAAGAGGGGGCTGAAACAGGAAGCCAGGTGATCTGGCTTGGTGAGTCCCACCCACAAAAAGACCAACAATCTGAAACACTCTGGACTGAGAGTTTTGCAACAAGTGTAGCTGGACCCAAGATGGTTCCGCTCAGTCAGGGGAAGGGCATCTGCCATTTCAGGGGCAGTCTGCCATTACAGAAGCAATCAGCCATTACCAAGGCAATCTGCCTAGTAGACTGCCATTACCGAGGCAGTCTACTATTACCGAGGCAGACTGCCATTACTGAGGCAGTTCTAACTGTACCTCTGTAAACAAAACCACAAGGAAGTTTACACAGCAGCTGGGCAGAGACTATGGCAGCTCAGCAATGCCTCTGCTGGCAGACTGTGATTAGACTACCTGCTTGCTGGGCAGGGCATCTCTGAAAAAAGGAAGCAGCACATCAGGAACTTATAAATAAAGCCCCACCTTCCCAGGACAGAGCATCTGGGAAAAGAGGAGGTTATGAGTTCTGCTGCAGCAGACTTAAACATACCTGCCCAGTACCTCTGAACAGAACAATGGAGCTCCCAGCATAGCACTTGAGCTCCTATAAGAGACAAACTGTCTCCTCAAGCTCCTCCCCAAACCCCATGTATCCAAAGAGATATCTCATAATGGA